TAACAACAAAAAGGCACAAACGAAAGTTTATATAATGTGATCACACTCATGTCCATTTTAAAACCGGTGCATAGAGATTGAAAGAATCTTCCCAGAAGGACTGTTAAGGACACGGTGATAGTGTTTATCTTCAGGAACGGAAGTAATGATATACAATGGAGATAGCTCTTTGCAAGATTCAGGTTTTAAAAACCCATGTGCATGAGTACTTTAAGAACTGTCATTGTTGGGTGATGGGATTATGAGTGGATTTTAAAAATCTTTATAAATGCTATTGTTGTTAGTGGCGGCTGAGCTGACTTCTAATCACGACGACCCCTTGTGTGTCACGGTAGACCTGGACTCTATGGCTGTGACCTTTTGGAAGTTGATTGCCATAGATGTCTTTTGAGATGCCTCTGGGTGGGTTTGAACTGCCAGCCTCTCATCTGGTAATTGAAGGCTTAACCATTTATGCCCCCCAGGAACACCATGACATTTACTAAATACTGATTGCATATTAGAGTATAATTATTCTTACAAAACTGGTTAGACATTGTTTAGAACACACTAGTTTATTGATTTATTTTATTTTATTCTCTAACATTATTACTATTGTGACACTTTTTCCAAACTCATTTTGATAGCGTGGTATCCTGGGATAGATAGACATCATGTACTCAAAGATGCTAGGCATTGGTGCCTGTGGTAAGTTCAAGTCTGACTAAGAGTGTCTTAGTTTGATTCTCCTCTCAGAGTCCTAGTGTGGTGCTCTAAGCTAACACACTGGACTGCAAAGTTGGTTTGTACTGTCAACTTTGGTCATTCCAGCTCACCAGTCACTCCTCGGAAATCCTATATGGGGGTCGCTATGAGTCCGAACTGACTCGACGGCACTTGACAACAATAAATTTGATTCTCATAGGGGAGGGGGCCAATTGCATTTCAGTTGCCAGACTCTGAAAATCTGTGCTCTGTGGTGTGACAAGCATGCAGAAGCATTTCTTAGATCTTGGGAATGGGCCAAATACAACCGTAGGAGCAACAGATTTGGGAGTGTAGGTATTGTAAGACCTGAGAACAGGCTACGACAGCCTGGGAGACCACAGAGGGTCACTTCCTTGTTAAACTGTCAAGGACAGGGCAGCACTGTGGGAGGTGGACCTCCTGGGGCCCTGGCACCAGCAGCCCTGAAGGTGAAATACTTGAGTTTATGCCCCGAATCGGGGCGGCGACAGTATTCATGCCCTGCTCTACTTGGATGATTCTAGAATGCTGCTGATGAAACCCAGTTATAACAACACTTGACAGTTTACACTTCTACCTGGGACTAGCCAAGTACGACCTGAAGTCCTCACTGAAATCAAACTCATTTAAACTCATCGGGAGTTAGCAGAACCAATAGTCCAAGTGTCCTTCCTTGTATAACAGCATCGCAGTTACCCAAATCGATTTCCCTTAGTTTAATAATATCAATCTAAAAAACTAAGGACAAAAAAATGTATTTTTTACTTAAAAAACAACACGTTTTCTAATATGATGGGACTTCAAAAAGTTCGTGAAAGAATTCCATCTTCTTTTTAAAAAATATAGATCTTTTGTATTGTGAATTGGGTGAAGGTTTACAAAGTTTATCATTTGTTTTCCATTCAACAATTTGTACACATCTTGTTTCGGCCCTTTGATTACAGTCCTCTCAATGTAACACCACTTACCTGCTTCCTCCCTGGGTTTCCTGGTTCCAATCCTTCTCCGTTTCTCAAACCCTTCTTTCTGTCCTCTGTCTTTGGGTAAATGCTGCCATTTTGATCTCAGATTTTTAAATTACTGTAAGGTATGTGTAGCCCACTAGTGCTATTGCTACCTTTGTAGATATGCCTGTAGTTTGGGAGAGTTCAGTTCCAGACCTGAAGGATGATTCAGAGCCACACTCTCTGTCTGACCAGTAAACCTGGCCTCTTTGGTGATTTGGAGTTTTGTTTCATATTTTCTTTTACTGTATACATGATCTATAATGTGATCCCTTTCACTTTTAATTCTGTTTTCTATGAGCTTTTGAAGCACCTTCATATACAAACGAGTTCTTATTTTTCAAATAGTTCCTTAGAAAAGCATCTGTTCTTTAAGAATCAGGAGTGAAAGGCCTACAAACCAGACTGGACCAAGGAAAGGAGAACAGACAGTGGAAGCCAGACACCCAGCATTTTTCATGCAGTTCTAACATCTATTAGCTGTGTGACTTGGGGTGGCTTACTCAGCTTATCATCCGGAAAGTGTATACATGGAGAAGAACAAATGTAGATGTGACTTGCTGAATTAATGAAACAAAGAATGCGCAGTGTCGTGCTCACCCCTATGGTCTCTGATTGTGATGACGCTGGTGCCCCTGGTGGTATTCTTGCTGGGCAGTGGAAGATTCACTGTTGGTCTCCCCAGTACCACCATCAGCCAACACTCACTGCTCCTGACCTATTCATTGCCTCACTTCTGACACTCACTCTCATTGTTCCTCTGAGATAAAACCCTTGCATCCCCCAACAGCCATTCCAGACCCCACAGTGTCTCTTCATTACTCCTGGCTCTGTATCACATCCTGGGTGGTGAAGACCGAGAGATCTTGGTCTGTCCTCACAAAGAACAAGCTATATATAGTAGAGGGCGAACTTCTGAATTTCCAGTCACACTGTAGTCAGGAAGTTATACCTGTCTCATTTCAGATCAAGTCTGAGCTACAATAATTCACATTTAAATAATCCCCGCACAATTTCATTAATTACACAGTTCAGATGGAGTCCTGGTGTGGCGCTGTGGGTTAATGCGCCAGATGGCAAAGCCATTTGAACTGCAAGGTCGGCGGTTCAA